GTAACCAGCTTGTATGATGATCTAATTACTTTCATGTTGAAAAGGTCTGCAGGTGTGCTCTAGGTGTGAATATATGTATGCTAATCAGAATGTGCAGGTGCCAGGTTGTTATTGTTGCAGCAATACAGCTTCGAAACTATATCTTGATATTTCAAGGAAATTTGCAAAATTAGAGTTACTGTCACTGATGACAGATTACCTGAGTCAAAGTGTGAATATATGGCTACAAGGTGTTGGCTGCAGTATGCAAAAGTAGTGACACAGAACTATACACAGTGTATTGACTCACCAGGACTCAAAGGTGAGAACAAGAGCAGCCTAGGTAGTGTTTTCCCTGCAACTTTTGAGTAAAAGTATAACTTTTAAGTATAGCTGCGTAATGGTCATGTTCACGTATGGCATGATAGACAGCCAGTGATAGACAGTGATAGACCGGAAGCATTCCGGAGTCCATGCACTGACTTCCATGACATAATCACTCCTGGTTTTAACGTAGCGCTGCCTGCAGGGCCTAAAGATTACAGACATTCAGTACAGATGCGCAGCTTTGTCGCTTGCACTCAGGGATTTCTCTAGATTCTCTGAATCACTGATGAAAAATATTTGTTTAATTGTTGCAGTTTCTTTCTAAAACTGGTGAAACTCTGCCTCTCTAAGATGCTCTTTTTATACTCAGTCATGTTACTGACCTGCTGCCAATTGCCAATTAGTTTACTTTTCCACTCTTTTGTTGCTGCAGTCCCAACTTAAAGCATGTTGCTGCCACCAAATTAAAAATGAACTTTTTCTTAAATTGCCACATATTTTCAGCTCATTAATGAATCTTGGGATAATTTTAGCCTTTGCTAACCCTGATGCTAATTTCTGCTCCCGAAGTTCTATAAACCTGCTGCGGTCAGGTATACGTTTGTTGTACCATTTATTGTGTTTTAACAAGTTGTTCCTGCGGCTGCTTGAGGTTTGGGGTAAATGGATTCTTTTCGTGTCACATCATGATGTGGCATAAAAAAAGTAAGAGTAGTTCCTCGTTGATGTTGGGATTTAGTCGTGTAGAACAGTTTTATCTTGAATACCTTGGAGTGAAGCTTTCAGATGACTTTGAAAATAAGAGGAGCCAAGATTGGGGCTTATGCTGACTGGCTGCTTTGGCCCTGCTGGCATTTTAACACAGAGTCATTGAGACATCACGCACCCCAGCAGACAGCAAACCATCTCGGTTTAATAACTTGTGACACCACAGTCTTTCTTGGCACAGCTTCCACTTTGGCCTCAGTGGTTTAAGAGAAGGACAGAGTCAGCTCAGGAGTGGAATATTAATTTGACAATAGAGGAGTGACTCACCACGCCTTATTTTAGTCTGTCCTTGTCTTCTGTTTCATGCTGAATCCAGCCATGTGTAAAAATATTTTATAAGAGACTCTGATGGATTCCAAAACAACAATTACGATTCTTAAATTGTAGATAAATACAGAAGCATCTGTTGCTCTAAGCATTTTTCCACCTGTTCAGTGCACTGGGAATGGGAGTATTGTAATCGAACAATAGGTAAATAGATACAGATGGAGATTCAGATAAATTAAATTAACACAAAGGAGATGAATAAAATGTAACCATGTTGCTTTTGTCATCTCTGACTGTAGTGTGTGCTTTCTCTTTAAAGGCTCTCCTCTTAAATGCTGAGTATCTGTGCACGTCTGTGATGGTTTTTGTCATAAATGTGGTCACCATGTGTGAAGGACAGTCCTCAGCCATCAGTTTAGATCATCTTCCTCACAGGAAACCTACTTTTTTCTGACTGGAAAATACAGAATTGAGAGAAGTGAGTGAAGCAGAGTTTACATGTATTGAGTTAGCCTAGTCAAATATCTCATTTCTGGAGTAAGTTCAAACAGCTGATTAGCCGAACGATTGAAAGTGAATAAATAACAAGGTTAGGTGCTGATGGAAGCAGAACGGAAACGTTTCTGTTTTGACTTCTATAATTACAAACTGGATTCCTGGAGGATTTTTGTGTTGAGTGTTGTCTTTGAACTTTTTTAATATATTTATAATGACAGGAGAGTAAAAATTCTATGCAAACAAAAGCCTAAAAGCATGTTCACTTACTGTACACATCCAGAAATATCTGCAACAGACACATCGTGTTACAGATCGATCAGAGTGAACAGATTCTGGCTCACAGATGTAGGTCCAGTACTGGTGTGTGCTGGCAAATAATGACCCCCCAAAAATTAGGTTGAGGTAGTGGAGTGTCACAGCTGTGCAGATAGAAAGACTTTGTGTACTTTTCTTCTGCTTTAACTTTGTTTTGGGTTATTTATGTGCCTTTGTTTCTACAGCAGACATTTTCGCTTATTAGAATATACATGTCCCCCAAAAGCATACCACTTCTCTATATTCAAGTGTCCAGGTAAGACAGTTTGACAGGGAGCTTAATTTTTATTGTGTGCATCTCTACGTTACAGAAACAGAGACCCTGCTTATGCCAACACCCACACATTTACCGTCTCGACCGCAGGAAGGAACATCTTGAACAGAAAATGCTAAAATTACACCGTCATGGCCATAACTGCTGACATTTCTCATTAGAAGAGCATCCTGTGTTTGTGATGTGGAGCCTGACCAGCACTGGAGTTCAAGGCCATCATTAGAAAAGAGATATTTGAGAGAAAAAAGTACACCTCGACCAGTCTGTTCAGAAGCTTTTAAAGTTAAACCTGAGCACAAAATTCAAGAAACAGGGCACTGCTTTCATCTTCACGTGTAAAACATCTTCAGACACAAATATAAATATTCTCTTTTGCTCTGTTCATTGTACCATCGATGGCTGTGAATGAAACTGTGAATGAAACTTGTAGCAAAATACTCAACAGCTGTGTGTCCCTCCACTGGCGCGGGGTTTTCGCTGTTTTAGATGCTTGTTTGATGCGATAACATGTTTTTTGTTCGTTAAGTTGACGCTTTTCCTGAAGCCTTCGTTACCGTGTTTACTGGACACTTAACGATAAGCAATGTCTTAATGATTGCATGAACGTGTTCAGTGGATCTTTGCAGACTTCTGAGGCGACTTTGTAAAATTCACGTTAGCAGCTAGTGCATCGTTTTTCTTTTCCTCGATGCATTTGTTGTCCTGCAGTTTATGGTGTGTTTTCAGGCAGTTGAGTAAAATAGTTGTGTTGGACTGTTGCACATGCTGTAAATCCAAAGTGTTCCCAAACAACAGTTGATGATCCGCTTTTAAAAGACAACCTTACACATTGTTTCATAAATGACTCATTTATTGACCTAAACCTAAACCCCCCGTCAGAGATAACGGGTATCTCAATGATTGTTTTTAACTTCCTTTGTTAATCCAGGATCTCTGCTTACTGTGACTCTTCTTCTCTCCTTCTAGGTGTCCTCTTTCCATAAGTGTAACTTAATGACAGTCTGCATGTGCTGCGTTTAGTGGAAGTCTGTAAATTGTAGCACCGATTAGAATTTAAAATGAAAGCTCCATTACAATAAAGTCTGAAAAAAGTAAAGGATCCATATATTTCCTGACTCAACTGCATCTTAAATAAGTTAATAGAAAGGAGAGCGCATCAATAGCAACGGTCTCTATCTTACAGAGGCAAAAGGGATTATGGGAACTGATGTGTGAAATTACATAGAGTCAGATTTGATTATGATGTTAAAGACAGTGTAAAACTCAACAATTTGACACTTTGTATTGAATTGTTTGTATTTAAGTGTAACTGATTTCTTCCCTTTGTTGTTGTTGTCAGGTTGGGGGCTCGAAGATGGGCGTCATACGCTATATGGGGGAGACAGACTTCGCTAAGGGCGAATGGTGTGGGGTCGAGCTGGATGAGCCTCTGGGGAAGAATGATGGTGCAGTAGCTGGTACAAGGTATATACAAACACTATGCATGCCTCAAGATCCCCAAATTCCTGCTCTCTTCTTACCCTAAAAGGAAATCAAGGGGAGGGATGGTGATCTGTCCGCTCGGCTGTTTGTGCTGTCATCTGTTTTTCAACGAAACAGTTCGACCTTCTCGCTCAGAGCTGCTCTGGACTGTTTTTCATCCTCATATTTACTCCTTCAGACTCTTGCTTAGCCCGCATAGCACACATCATCCCCCTTTCAATCATGGGAAATGTCTTAAAACATTTGAAATGTAGTTCCAGGCATTTTGAAGTGCTGGTGGAATTTTAGAGCCAAACTAGAGTTAAAACTAACATTTTTTTAATGATACTCAGGATCCAGTAGCAATCTATGCTAGATTTTTCTGGATAGGTTATTAGTTTGTTGAGTTATAAATATTATACAATAATACTTATATCATTATACCCAATATCAAATATAGATGGACAGTGAGGCGATAAAACCAAAACCACGTGTTCCATTAAACTGTAGTTAGAGGGAAAAATAACACTACAGCATGAAATAAAAACACAACAAAGGCGTGTTTGTCTTGTTTCTTAAATCTGTCATAATTTTATAATTTTTGGACCCAAAGATCAGACTGTGACCAATATAAAGGCTATAAGTCTATAAAGTCTTGTTTGCGAGTGAGTGTTGAGCAGTGACAGACTGTGAGGAAATGGGGGCGTCCTGAACACTGCTGGTGAATCTGGGTGGTGTCTGTAGAGAGGGAGAGCTTACAGGTGAGGTTTTTTTTACAGGTAAGGTCTGACTTGAGAATGCAGGAGAAAAGAGATTGGGACAGGGTACCTGTGGGCGGGCGCGTGAGGGCGCGTGAGTGGCAGGGTGGTACCTGAATCCACTGGGAGCCTGGTTGTGAGCTCCTGACTCCTCAGGGATACACTTTTCAAGGGATGACTTTTCAAAGACGAGGTAAAAGGCTTCAGGCAGACAAGTTACCACCGTTGTGGATGCAATGAACTGGCAGAGAATAACGTAGTTACAGCAGGCGTGGAAGTTCAAACCCAGGAAGACCAGCTCCACTCAACGGAACGACACAGGGCAGCGCAGTTCTCCATCTGAAAGAACAAAAAACCCAAAGCCTTATAAATTCTTAGCTAGAGATACTTAAAGAAAGGTTAGAAAAGTCTTTGCATTCCTGTAACTTAATGTTCTTTTCCTTGTTAGTTAATGAGCAGGTAAATGAAAATATACTCACTGTCCTCTATATATGACAAAGAAATCCAACAGATACTTTGCAGCTGTCACCATGTCGGCTTTTTGAATCTAAAAGAAGTTATTAGCTTAGCTCAAATTCTAGCTAGTTTTGTTAGCAAACTGCAGATACCAGCTAGTTAGCGTAAAACAGTAACAGAGACAAAATACTAGGATTTAAATAACCAGACCCATTTGTTATCTTTCAGTACAATTAATCCTAAAGCAGGTCATATTATATATAATTCAAACAGATAATCTCATAAAAATAACATAAACATATTTTAGATTGACTAAAGTTAGCGGAGGCCTAGCTCGTAGCTAGCTGGCGCCACTTCAAATGTTTTTTCTTAAACTTTACACACTAAAGAAATGTAAAGGGGTAATTATATAAAAAAAATCCCTCTTTGTGTAATATTAAAATTATGATGATCTGATAATCTGAAACATGTAAGCGTGACAAATATGCAAGCCACTAGGAAATCAGGAAGGGGGCAAACACTTTTTCACACCACAGTACTTGTCATGCAGGGGAATTAGCTATAGAGAACAAAACTGCTTCTGGTACCTGGCTATAAGTGTATTTATTTATGCTATAGATGCGGGCCTTAAAACACGGGAGGCCATGTTAACATGAGTCACTTTAGGATTGAGCCTCAAGTGGCCGCTTCAGGAACTGCAGTGTTTGTCACTCATGCGTAGGGATGGGTATCGTTTAGGTTTTATCCGATACCGGTGCTAAACCGGTACTTTTGAAACGGTGCTGGTGCTTAAACGGTGCTCAAACCGGTGCTTAAAGAATGGAAAACACAAAATTGGTCCAAAAACCTCTCATGTTCAGCTGTTTTTTTTGTAAAAAGATAACAATGTTAGCCTTTTCTGCAGCTAGAGGGCATATATGGTATCACTCTTGGCTGGAAGCAGTGCTTAAACAATGGAAAAAACACAAACTTTGTCCAAAAACCTCTCATTTTTAATTGTTTTCCACTTTTTCTTTGGTCATTTTAGCCTTTTTGGCCAGGGTGAAGTGAGTATCTGCCATCAAACAAGAAGACAGCCGCATGTAACTATGATGATGTTTGCTAGTTCACCTTACATGCATTAATGTAATAACGTGGTTAGCCTACTCAATGTAAATTACACACGGACAACATTAGGCTACTCACGCAGATGAAGAATGGCTGCTGCTGCCATCATCATCTGTCATCATTTCTGCTACACTGCCAGGGCTAGGGGCCAGGACTCTCCTCTTCGTGTTTTTGGGGGATGTTGCTAACTCCGAGTCCGATAACAGGCAACCCACCCGCAGTAGATGCGCTCGGTGTGAGGTCTCGCAGCAAGCTATCAAATACGGCTTTTAAAAAAAACGCTATGCGTCGCCAGGTGTTTCATCGGATTTGAGGTGTTACCTCCTTTGCACAGTATCACCTTAAACTTCCATTGTTTTCATTCAAATTCTGTCGTTTTCATTCAAATTTCATTGTTTTTATTCAAATTTTGTTCTGTTCATTGAAATTCCGTTGTTTTTATTCAAATGCTTTTGTTTTCATTCTAATTCTACTCTTTTTCTTCAAATTCTATTGTTTGTTTTAGAATTCTGTTGCTTTCATTCAAACTCTGTTCTGTACATTCTAATTCCGTTGTTTTCATTCAAATTTCATTGTTTTCATTCAAATGCTGTTGTTTTCATTCTAATTCCATTGTTTTGATTCAAATTCTGCTCTGTTCATTCTAATTCCGTTTTTTCATTGAAATTCCGTTGTTTTCATTCAAATTCTGTTGTTTTCATTCTAATTTCATTGTTTTGATTCAAATTTTGTTCTGTTCATTGTAATTCCGTTGTATTCATTCAAATTCTATTCATTTCATTCTAATTCCGTTGTTTTCATTCAAATTCCGTTGTTTTCATTCAAATTCCATTGTTTTGATTCAAATTCTGGTCTGTTCATTCTAATTCCGTTGTTTTCATTCAAATGCTGTTGTTTTCATTCTAATTCTACTCTTTTTATTCAAATTCTATTGTTTGTTTTAGAATTCTGTTGCTTTCATTCAAACTCTGTTCTATACATTCTAATTCTGTTGTTTGTTTTAAAGCACTTGTTGCAGGCTGCTGAGTTTGCATATTTTGCTGTGAAGTACAGCCAGACTTTTGACCGCCTCGTCTTGGGCATTTTTAATCTGTAGCTCTGCTCTAAAAGAACGTACGTACCTGGACCCCCCTACTATCCTCGCAAACGTAAAATGATTGGCTAGAATTCAAAGTGTATGACAGGAAAAAAAAGCACCGAAATAAAGCACCGAAATGTGCACTGCTTTTCGGTTTGGTTACTATCATTTATGTCAGAACCGGTGCCATCATGGCACCGGATACCGGTACCCATCCCTACTCATGCGTCTTCATTTTTCATGCTGGGAGGTTGTTACGATGTACTGTGTGATGCAGCTGGCCTCCCGACTCTTTAGTTTATTATTTTATTTCTGTTTTTATTCACAAACCAATTAAATGATGTTGCAGGAGCTATAAGACAAATTTCCAATGTACCAAATATTAAAATATATTCAAATATTGTTACTATTTATCAAAAATTCCCTTCTCTACATTGAGAAAACTGAAAGCCTATCGCAGATACATGACTGTAAAGCTGCTCTGTGACTTCTAAATAATATCCTCGTCCTCTTGCATCTCCCCCTTCTTCTCTTCCTGCAGATACTTTCAGTGTCTCCCTAAGTTTGGCTTGTTTGCTCCAGTCCACAAAGTGATCCGCATCGGCTTCCCCTCCACCAGCCCGGCGAAGGCTAAGAAGAGCAAGCGGGTGGCAATGGGAGTTTCCTCTCTGGCCCACAGCCCCAGCAGTTCCTCCATCAGTTCAGTCAGCTCGGTGGCCTCCTCTGTAGGTGGACGTCCGAGCCGTGCTGGACTGGTAAGACGACTGCAGCGCGCCTCAAATCCGCCCTTAGAGTGGGTGGATTTGAGGGCGGGAAATGCACTTATTTTCTTTCTCGCAGTTAGATAAGAAGGTCGACACCACTCTCATGTCTCTAAGCTTCCTTTGAGGTCTCAGCCAGTCCTGATGTCTTGTCGTCTTTATAGCTTAAAGTGGACCTAATCGGCTGATGTTCAGCTTCATGTTTCTTTTGAGACACAAGTGGCTTAAGGTGAAAGTTCAGATTTAAAAACTTGCAGAGCAGAAAAATTATCATATTTTGCATGTGTGTGGGGCTGTCGCTTCCTGAAATGACCATATAAGGAAATCCCTGCCAGCTGACATCAGCCAGAGCCAAGAGTAGAAAAAATGGTGAAAACCTTATGTTGAGGATTTATATTTATATACTCATGCTGTTTGAAACATGTTTAATTCACATATGTTTAACAGTTTGGATATATTGTAACAGTATATATGGATATAGTTATGTAAATCTCTAGATTGATTGATAGATAGATGAGAGAAAGTGTATCGCTAAAATGCCAGTCGGGGGCTGCTGTATTGATACTTACCCTAATCAATGCATGCTTCAGTGAATGATCCCATTTGTCGATTTTTGGCTATAATTCAGCTTGCACTGCTGACTCAAATAACTGTCCTCATTGAGGCAACAAAATGAAATAGCCTTAACTATTGCACAGTAGCTAATACAAACCACAAGTTTTCATTGCAGGTCCACTTTAAGCAAAACAAAACTTGTAGCAAGTGAGTTTAGAGGAGGTGGACACATTTTTTGTTACCTTTGGACAGAGCCAGGCTAATTACATGCTCCTGAGCTGAGCTAACTGACTGCTATCTATGGAGTCATCTTTACCATACAGACATGAGAGAGGCAGAATTCTTCTCATCTAAGTGTTAGCAGGCAAGCAAATGAGAATATTCCCTAAAATGATCCCTTTAAAAGTCAGTAAGTAAACATGACCACAGGGTTCATATGTGTACGCATATAAAACCCATATCCCTGTTAGGCTTGGCAAAGCATCTCACTTCTCAGCTGCAAAATAATTTTATCCAAATATTTAAAAATCCCCATATTTTGAATTTTGTTATCGTCCAAAA